GTTGGACTATTGTGTCTGGAGTATGTTGGAAAGCAAGGTTGGCACTAAAAAATACCAAAGTGTCGATTACCTCAAGCAAGCGCTTCGCCGGGAATAGGCCAAAATACAAAATTCCAACAAATCTAAACTTATTCTAAAATTTGATCCTATTTCCGACATTTTCTGTTGCAATTTTTATCTCACCCTGTATAGAACACTAAATAATTACATCGACGATCTATTTGAAATTGCGCCAAAAATTCTAAGCTAAACTTTTACAAAACTAGCGCTTTCATATAACGTTACCTTCAAGTTTAATTATTTTTTGCGTATTCTCAAAAGTTGTTAATATGGGAGGTGGACTTGTGCCAGAAAATCCATTTTCCATATAAAAATCTGTATTGTTATGGATTTCGAATAAGTTTTCCCTTATGGTAACATTACTCAAATTGCCAATAAGAGTTTTCTGTTTGAATTTAGCTTCGTACCACTTGTTATATAAGAATAATCTATATTTGGAAACTGGAAATTTCTCAACAATATAACCATAATTTGCCACTAAGCAGGACAACAAATAAATATTTCCATCTGAAGAAAGAAATCTATTTGGTTTATGGTGCTGGTGTCGGTGCTGGTCTGTTATGTTATATGATTTCATATGTATGTCTGTGTACATTTCTATTTCACACCATCCGAAATCGCAATACTCCTCATAACAGTTCGTTCCATCCCACTTCAAGCCCCCGCCTGCGCTCATGCCGCCGAAACTTAATGAAAATAACAAATTTATAACAATCTAAGCTGTGGAGTCGCTCGCTTCACCGGGCAAACAAATTCAAAACATTTCAACAGCAAATAAGAGAATGTGTTCGCTATTACTCTATTATGATTGCTTTGATTGCCATCGCAGCCACCATAACAGCCATACATTTAAACGCTTACCACCACCACCACTACCACCAGCAGCGCCATTGCTTTTGCGAAAAGTAGCAAAACGCAACAGCAGCCAGGTAAAAATTAAATGAATTGTACTTAAAGCCTCCACTGTGGAATGGAAGAAATTACGGCGACGACAACTGCTCGGCCGTCTGTCTGTCCGTTCGTCCGTCCGTTATTACATTCATTCGTCTGTGTTGCAAACACAAAGTGGTGTAAAAATAATAATAACAACAGCCAGCCCGTCAGCCAGCGAGTAAGTAACAATAAGATAGCAAAAATAAAATAAACAAATGAAATACAACAGCACTATCCAGCCTAACAAAAAAACACAACAATAAAAAAGAGCAGAGTGGAAAAAACATACCGCACCGCACCCCCAGCCCACCTCATTTCACCTTGGTGCTGTGCCATCAACTACAACAACGGACAAGGAAAAATCCATACAAAAATAAAATCACTTTCACTGACAGCACAGTGCCCCTTTGAACGGCCAGGCCTGCTCACCAGCCAGCCAGCCTGACTGGGCTGCTGGATGATGATGGAGGCCGTGACTGGAAACGTTACGTTACGAAGGTGACGATATGCAGCAGGAGCTAAAGGCCCGTGGCGAGAGCAAGTTTATCCCTTCAACAATAACATCTCTTTCTCTCTCTCTCCAAGCTAACCCCAGGTTCAAATACAAGCCCAAGGTATGCGATGAAGAAATAATCAATATCGAATTTCGACGCATCGTTTAACTTTGTTTTTGCCAAACGAAAAGACCTTGAACATTTAAAATTCAAATATTCAACCAATAACCAATTTCGACTGAGTCATCACAATTTAGCAAAGCGAGCATCTGTAACGAAGTTTATTTTTTTAGGTCGCACTAATTCAAGTGGCCATAATGAACTGAAAGCGGGATGCCTTAAGGCGTTGTGATAATCATGTTCGATCGCAGTTTGCTTCACAGAGCATATACGATATAATATCGACGAGCATAACGATATAATCGTATTCAGTTTATTATCAACACCTTTTAAGATACTACGACTTTTTATATTCCCTAGGGCCAAGCATCTTTGATTACTTTTCGAAATGGTTGGACCGATTTTGATGAATGTTCGTTTTTTGTGTTCGCTATGTGCGAGATTGTGTTGCTATTTTTTCGACTTTCGTAGTTGAGGAAACAGGAGCTTATTTTCATTTATTTAATATAGTTAGTGTTAGTAGCGGTGATTTTAGATACCTTTACAGATGTTTTTTTTTTTTTTTGGATAGGAGAACCAAGGCTCACTTTCTAAAATAGGGAAACCCATTGAAATATATCCAAGGAATTTATATTGCAGAATAGAATTTGAAGTTTATAAAAATGAAACGAGTGAAATTTCACTTCAAAAAATTTAAGGGTACCTAAGAAGACAAAAATCAATATTTCATGAAAATTCGGGCTTATTGGTTAGTCAAATTATTGTCATGAAATGTCAACAATTATTTGATCATTTCCAAATCATTTTTTAACCGGAATTTTCAACCAATTGGCCTCTAATTTGGAAAAGTTGAATAAATAAAATATTCGTAGTATAGACTACGTTTTAAGGAAGCCCTCATGTGAGAGAATTTTGAGTTCCAATAAAAAGTTTTTTTTTGCTAAATATTATCAATATAGTTTAATTCCTTTTTATATATCCCACATGGCTGATGGTTCAGATACATTAAATTAGTTTTGAGAGTTCCTTCAATTTTTTAGCTGTTTTGAATTTTGAGTTAAAAACAAATATATTTTAACCATTTTAGCTTGTTGTTCCAACAACAAATTTATATTTCCGACACAAATGGGCAATACATTTTACGATTTTGAAATAAAAAAATATTGTCCTTTTATCTTCATTCAAATTTGTGGAACAACCATAATATTTTATTGAATTTTTTTCTCTTTCGTTTCCCTAATATGTAATTATTTGGTTCCTCTTCTATTGAGCTTACGGTCTCGTCACTTGGGTAAAAAAAGATTTTTTGTCATAGAAGTTATTTTTAAAAAAACTTCTGGGGAGAATATCCCAGACAAAAAAACCAAGAAACTGATGAGGATTGGTGGCTCTTTCCGAAACGTAGGTATTCCCTGCCTTACCCCTGGTAAACATTACCATCAACCTCCACTAATAAACAAATGTTGTTTTTATAAAGAACAACAGTAAAGGGATTAAGCCTGACGATTTTGCAACAACAAAATACTATGGTATCCCGAACAAACAAGACAACACTGTTCCATTTTGTAAATAACAATTATAATGTTAACAAAAACGATTGTTGCATCCTTTAACCCAACGAGATTTTGGTACTGAGTTGCACTTTTCGAGTTCTTTCAGTTATGCCATGCTGAGAGTACATAAAATGCGTATTTGACTGGCTTAAGTCATCGGCTGTCTTCTTCGAAGAGGAACAAAGAGTTTTAGGTTGACTTATTTCGATTTTGGTCTTACGCTAATTTTTGCTTTCCGAAAAAGCCAGCCGATGACTTAAGCCAATCAAAAATTCGTTTTATGTATTCTCACCATTAGTATGATAATAAAAAAAGTCAAATTTTTGGCAATAATTTATTTTGACATAAGTTGTATGCGGAATTCTGAACTTTTGCTCTGAAAAATATTTTTAATTTCAATGGCATGAATTTTCATATTGAAAACAGTTTTATTATATTCTAATTTTTAGTAATTACACTCATAAGTGTTTTACTGCTAAAATATAGCCTTTTGCGGCACCACGCATAAATTGTCATTTTAGCTTTGCAAACTCAGGCGTAAATTAAAAAAAAAATTGGAAATTTAAAATTTGAGAATATCATCCACAACTGAATTTAATAAATTCCCAATATTTATCCTTGGGCGGAAAGAATTTCCCTAGAATTCGATGCAGTCATTTTGAGTTATGCATTATTAATGTTTTGAAAATGGATTGGATTGAAATTATTGACCTTTTATACTTAGGTTTGAACGGTACGCTGTCAACGTGTTGTTTATACACATATCTTTCCTCAACACAATTTCGAAATAAGTTCATTAATTAAATAATTAGTTAAAATACAAATAATCCTCTATTTTAATTATAAATTGTATTTTTATAGAGGTTGTGTCACACTCAAAAAAAAAGTAAACCTTTTCTCAAGAACCTGCAAGAACGATTGTTCCTTTATGGTATCGATGAATACACCAAAACCAGTAGATTCTTGCAGGCTCTGAAAGAGAGCATCAGACTTAACTTTTTTTCATAAGTCAAAATTTTTTCATAATTCAAAAATGCTTCAGAAAGAATACATTCATGCACTGATTTCTGAACATTTATTTATCTTGGACATAACAGACACACATATTAAAAATACACAGCTGCAAAATTAGCAGAACTGATGCTACAACAAGGACTTTTATCGAAATTATCATAAATACCCTCCAATATTAAAATAGAAAAGAAAACTACAGCATTCCAAACAGGAGTAAACATGAAAACGCTCTCACCGTGCATCCGTCCGCTAACTCAAATGCAATCTCAGTCACCAATCAAGTGGACAGACAGACAGACGGACTGACAAACAAAAAGAAATAAAAGCAATGCAAATATCTCGACTCAAAAACATAGATAATTATTTTTGAGGTTTCGGACAATCGATTTGCGGTGAGGAGTCAGTCAGTCAGTCGTCAGCATCATGGCCAACACAACATGTGGCCGGCCACAAACAAATCCTCTGTTGCCGGAGTTGGTCGCAATCGGCGACTTGTTGTTTTGCAATTGTTGTCACAATGACAACTACAACAACGGTAACAACAACTCTTTGTATTGGTTCTGCTTTCAATTGTTTATAATTGTAACTCACTAAAGTTTAATGGCTTTCGAGGCAACTTGCAACTTGTTGCATGCAACCAACCAACCAACCAACAAACAACGTTAGACTCATAGTAACACTTTGTTCAATAGGCTTTTGAGTTTGAATCTTTGTTTTGATTTCGTTCAAGTATATTTCTTCGTGTATGTTTCTTTGTTTTTCCTTTCGTTTTTATTATTTTTTTTTGTTTTTCAACTTGTATCCATGTAGAAGAAGAAGCACTTACACTTTATCACCACCAACAACAAATTCACAAATAAAACGTTTTCTCGTCGAAATATAAGTCTTTCCGCAAATTGAGTCCGTAGCGCGTGCCGCGTTTAGCCCCAACGACGTTTAATCCACAATTAATCGAAACAAATCGCAGAGAGCGCGTTATACTCCAAAGACGAATGGCGATACAAAGAGGAGACAGAAAAAGTCGACCGAAAATCATGGACTGATTACCAAGCGTGCAAACAAATTAAAACGACCTTCTTGAGTCGAGTCTCAAAGAAGTCTGACGCGCATGAACATTGCGAGCGTTGTAAACACCGCTTACGAATCGGTCGAAAAGGCAAAACAAAACAGCTGTGTCTTGTTTTGTTATTGTTTGGTCCGCAGTGCAGCGCAGCTTAACGCTCTGCGCCATAGCTGGATTGGAGCTGCTTGTGGTTTTGCAGTCAAAAAGCTTTAGATTTTGGGGTATTTTTCATCTCCATGGCAGTTGTGTGTTTTCTTTGCTTTGCTAGTAAGCCCAGCGCCTGGGTCTGCAAATTATGGCTGCCCTGTCCTCGCTTGGAGTAACTGTTTGTCGAGCGAACGATGCGAGAGAGTGTGATTGGATAACCTCCTATTGCATTACCTGCAACGATCCTGCTGGCTACTGCAAATGCATTCACCGTAGAAAAGCTCCGCCGAAAACAGCTGTGTCGGTTGTAATTATTCGCATGATCGACGTAATGATGAGGCAACAACGAATTCGAAAAGCAGTGACGGCCATGAACGTATCTCAAGAGTTGGACAAAAAAGGGGGTAAAACAGACTACAATCAAACGAAGGGTTTTGAAGTAAAAAGTAATTGATCTGATGTGAATGCAATTTACCAGGATTGAAAATCTAAAGCTTATTAATTATACGTTCGGCCATATAGCTATAGAGGATATATATAATTTGATACGGCGAAATTGTGAAGTCGAAATAACGATTTTAGAAACTCTTTGGAACCTCTTTTGGTCTCTTCGATGTCCGTCCATCGGTCTGGCTTTTGCGAACGATAAGTTTCATCCAAACTTGGTACATCTTAGATCGAGTTCCGAGATAGGCAATATAGGTCCAGTCTTTTGCTACGTCCTCCACAAAAGGTCGAAATTAAAAAAAAAAAAAAAAATAAAATGGTATCAGTCGGTTTGGAAGACAGATGTATACCCCAGCCTTGAAGTATGATAATTCAAACTGTTGACTCCTTATGGTGGAGGTTCCGAAGCAGTTAGGCAATATTGACCAATTCTTATCTGACTTAAGACTGATATAAGTATTGGAAATTGTAACCCTTTATGTGCGAGGTACCAGAAGGGGTTGGCAAAATGATAACCCATTTGTGGGGGAGGTACTTGAAAGAGTGGATCGATATATCCCATCTTCACACCAGACCTTGGTTTAAAAAAAAATACTGTGATGTGTGTAATTTCAAGAGAACCGGATGCTTATTTCGGATTTTATGATCGCTTTGGACACTAAAAATTTTAACCCTTTGTGGAGGAGGTACCAGAAGGAATGGTCCGATCTCTGCCATCTTTATAACGGATCTTGCATTGATGGATATATTGAGATTCGTCAAGTCTTAATGGAATCGGATGTTAATTTTTTATGAGCTTCATAAATATACACAATTTTGACCCTTTGTGGGGGAGATATCAGAAGGTATCTGTATATATTCCATCTTCACACCAGACCTTGGATTAATAAAAATATTGTGGTGTGAGTAATTTTAATACATTCGGACACTTAAATCACATTTTATAAGGGTTAAAATTATTCGAAATTTTGACCGTTTGTGTGGGGAGGTACTTCATGGAGTGGACCGATATTGTCTATTTTCGCACCTGACCTAGCACTAATGCAAATATAATGATTTGCAAAGTTGGAGCAGAATCGGATTGTCCTTTCTCTTTCTGTTTTTGAAAATTTCGATCGTTTGTGGAGGAGGTACCAGAAGGAGTGGAGCGATATTGCTCATCTCCGAACTCGACCTAAGTTTGACAATAATATTACGATGTACCAAGTTTGGATCAAATCGGATACTCTCTTCGAGAGATGTCGTACACACCAGCCAACCAGACGGACGAACATCGCTAGATCGACTCCAAATGTCCTGAAACGAATTTGGTCCAAATAGACCTAGTGTGTAAAATCGTTATTTCGATGAGGCACGTTTTGGCCGTATCAAATGATATCCACCCTCTGCAGCCATATGGCTGAGGGTATAAAAACAATTTCAAAAATCTTCGCATCCTATATTTCAATATCCGACAGATGGCCGTAATCTACCAGAATTAACCATTAAATTATGTAATTCTAACATAAACAAAAAAAAAAAAAAAACACATTTTTACATCATTCCTCTTGTGCACATGTGTGTGTGTGTCTGTATTTTATTTGGACCAAAGGTCATTAGACTTTTACCCACCAAAATTAACTAAATAGGCCATTGTTTGTTTGTTGGTGGTAACACTGTTTCAAAGTCAATTGTTGTCCCCCTTTGGAGATGTACATTTACCTGGTGTGTGTATTGGACTTGTTCCAGCGTCTATGTGTGTGCGTCTGTGTGTTTGTTGGTTGTGTTTTCTGTTGTTGCTTTGTTGTATATTGTTAACAACAAAAGCCAAAAATTGCCTAATTTCCCAAAAAGCCAAGCCATAATTACAGTAATACTCAAGCTCGTAGATGGATGCATAATGTCGCCACGGTCATCACACTGGTCAAATGTGGTAATTAAGATTACATTGGAAGCATTTGTGTGGATTCATTCAAGCAAGACCCAAACTGGCAGGCACAAATCAATGGCCAATACTACTGCTGCGGAGCTTCGTTTGTCTATTTGGTTACTTGGCTGAATAGATGGCTGATTGGCTCCGATCTCTTGCTGTTGTTGTTTTTGTTGGTTTTATGCATCGATCCATGGTTCCCCCGACAGTAGCCATCATCAGAAGCATTGACAACATTTTCTGGTAGCTGGTTTATATCGGCTCCGTTGCCAGTTTTATAGCTATTTATGATTTTCTTTTGTCTGTTGTCTTGCAGATTTACGACCAGCGAAGGGGGGGGGGGGGGGGGGGGGGGGGTGATATATGTATGTATATTTACCAGTAGGATTTTCGGAGAAGCCTCACTTCTTTTTTTGGGAACAAGTTTTTACATGCGGAAACTGTTTGAGATTCGAATGTAACAGTGTAACAGAGGGCAACTTCATCGGCATGACTATGGGTCATAGTCGCTTCTACGGCAAATGAATATTTATTTCTGAATCTCCCTCCATGTGTTTTGGCCGAGTTCAATATAGCCATTGTATCGGCATGTATGTATGTGTGTGTTTATTTTTTGCGGAGAAACCTTCAAAATTGTCAAAACTCAGTCGAGTACCGGTAATTAACTTGACATCCATAGCCAAAGATGTTTATTTTTCAAAAAACCCATTGTATTTGACTCTCAAATGATCGGCTGACTAACTGTGCGTATGAGATATCATGGTCACTTCGACGTCTAATGGGTCGTCCAGCAGCTTGTGATTCACATACAACAATCGTCTGCTTGGGTATTTTGAGTTTTGTTTTCGCTTTTTGTCGCTACCGTCAATGGCAAGGGGGGTATTGTTATGGTTTTAATAATTTATAGAATATTTCGAGACTAACCAACTGTTGTTATAATGATTTAATTATTTATTGTAATTTTTTGTAGAAATATAATCAAAAGGCTTTGAGGGCTAACATTTGGAGATAATTCACGAAAAGTACTTATGCTCCGTTTCAGGACATTTGAAGTTGATCTAGCGATGTTCGTCCGTCCATCCGTCTGTCTGTCTGGCTATACGCACGGTAACTCTCGTAGGCAGTAACCGATTTGATCCAAACTTGGTGCATCGTAATATTATTGTCAAACTTAGATCGAGTTCAGAGAAGGGAAATATCGGTCCACTCCTTCCGGTATCTCCCCCACAAAATGTCAAGATTTAAAAAAAAAAATAATTTACTGCACAAAAAGATCCGATTTTGTCCCAACTTTGCAAATCCTAATATTTGCATCAGTGCCAGGTCAGGTGCGAAAGTTGACGTTATCCGTCCACTCTATGAAGTATCTCCCCCACAAAGTGTTAAAATTTTGAATATTTATAAGTCTTATAAAATGTGATGTGAGTGTCCGATTGCCTTCAAATTACACACATCACAATATTTATATTAAGCCAAGGTCTGGTGTGAATTATATCGGTGCACTTCATCAAGTACCTCCCCCACAAAGCGTTAAAATTTTGAATATTCATGAAGCTCGTAATACATTCAATTAACATCCGATTCCATTCAGATTTGACACATATCAATATTTCCATTAACACAAAATCTGCTATAAAGAAGGTATTGATTGGATTATTCCTTCTGGTACCTCTCACATAAAGGTTCAAAGTTTTGAATAACAAAAAGGTTAATAAAATCCGATATCAGTTTCTGGTTCTCTTCAAATTGCACACATCACAATATGTTGATTCTGTCAAGGTCTGGTGTGGAATTGCGATAAACCGGTCCACTCCTTCTGGTACCTCCCCCACAAAGGGTCAAACTTTTGAGTATCCATGAAGCTCATAAACTGCGAAATTAACATCCGATTCCATTCAGACTTGGTACATCTCAATATTTCCATCAACAAGAATGGTACAGATCGGACCATTTCTTCTGGTACCCCACCACATAGGGTTCGAGATTTTTGAAAAACACAACGCTCAAAAAAGTGAGATAAGCATCCAACTTTCTTTAAATTTCACAATCCAAATATTTTTGCTTACTCAAAATCGGTTGCGAAGATGATATATATCTGCCAACCCCTTCAGGTACCTCACACACAAAGGGCCACCATTTTTAATACTTAAATAAATTTTGCACACACCAATATTTATATCTGTATTAGATGAAGTATGAAAATGAAATACTTCGATCCGCTATATGTATTATCTCACGCATATTTCCACATTTGTCAAAAATTTACACATATCTCATATAAAGTAGTCTATATCCAAATTTGCCACGTTGTAATATTTTTATCAGTCTGATGTCACATACGAATTTGTAACTATTGGCCAACTGATTCGGAACCTCCCCATAAATGGTCAACAGTTTTAATAATCATAACTCAAGGCTGGGGATCGTTGTTTTTTTTTTTTTTTTTTTTTTGATATACAATGAAAAAATAGATTCATTTTCTTTGGTGACTTATAGTAAAATTTAACGAAGAATATGTTTGTCCTTCCAGAATGGTTCTTTGTTAGAGATTTTTGCACAACTCACAAAATTTTCTACCAAAATATTCCGTGTATCTTTATCTGCAATATTACCGAAGACACTATATACCCGATGCACGCGGATTCCGAGGAACGAGGTGAAACTTGCACCACTTTTTACAATATTTTCCCATGTAAACTTATATACCTTTTTATACCCTCAGCTATATGGCTACAGAGGGTATATATTATTTGATACGGCCAAAACGTGCCTAGTCGAAATAACGGTTTTAGACCCTAGGTCTCTTTGAACCAAATCCGTTTCAGAACATTTGGAGTCGATCTAGCGATGTCCGTCCGTCCGTCTGTCTGTCTGGCTGGCTGGTGCGCACGATAACTCTCGAAGGGAGTATCCGATTTGGTCCAAATTGGGTACATCGTAATATTTTTGTAAAACTTAGATCGAGTTCGGAGATGGTCAATATCGGTCCACTCCTTCTGGTACCTCCCCCGCAAAAGGTCGAAATATTCAAAAAAATATATATTTTGCACAGAATGAGAAAGGATAATTCGAATTTGATCCTCATTAAATGTGATGTAAAAGTCCGATTGTCTTCAAATTGCACACATCCTAATATTTGTATTAACCCATGGTCTGGTGTGAAGGGTGAATACATCGGTCCACTCCTTCTGGCACCTCCCCTACAAAATATTGAAATTTTGAGTACCCATGAAGCTCATAAAAGTCCAAATTAACATCCGATTCCATTTAGACTTGGCACATCTGTCGCAATATTTGTATCATATTTTTGGGTCCGATAGGAAATGGGCAATATTGGCCCATTCCTTCAGGACCTGCTCCATAGAGGGTCAAACGTTTGAATAATCTTAACACTAGTCAAAATATATTTAAATAATCGAACATAGGCTGAGGGTATATATCTGGCGGCAATACCGACTGATACTTTTTAACTTGTTTAGCTCCACTTTCATAATCTGAAGGTGTTTGCCCATAATTTTTGAACACGTTTAATTTTGTCGCACAGTGTTATCGATAGAGATTCCTGAACTAAAACAATTAAAGATTACACAGAAAAGTACTTGAGAAAATTTGATATATATATAAAGTAAGATTCCTCAAAATTAGAAAATTGTAACTTTAAAAAAACTCTTCTTTTTGAGTAATGCCATTATTTAAGTAAATGAGCAAGCAAATATTAAAAATTACGTGAATCTATTTTTACGTCATTTGCCCCCCATTCGAATTGTTGTAGTTGTCTCTAGCCAAATCGAATCGAATCTTAAACGTGTGTAATAATTATCATCAATGTGAGATAAGAAGCCAAAGATGCAAATTTTTTGAGTCAACAAATTAAGATTCTTGTTAATAGCCAGCGAAACGTTTTGAATTGCCGTAGATAAATGTTGTCGGTGTCAACAGAAATAATTGCCGCCATCGATTTGTTGATTTGCCACAAATTTCATTTTTTTTTTTTTTTGTTGCAAAATTGATTTTTCACCATTCGAACTAGGAAGTTTTTGCATCGGGAATGATCCTCTCGAAAAGAAAGCAACGCGAAATAAATGTTCGAATGGTGTTCGATCAGCTGTATGTTTATTTAAAATCCAACCCGATGGTATGCAACATTCAAGTGATACTTCAATTCCAATCAACAACTTCTGCGACTCGACTCAGTTGTGTTTATGAGGGGGATACACTGTGGAGCAATCATTCGAATGTGGATATATGTTACGTGTGGAATTGGTATTTAATAGATGAAAGAGGCTAATTAAATGAAATTATTAATTATTTATGCGAACAAATACAAATGCATTTACAGGCGCATACACTCTTATATTTTTTTACTCTTTTGAATTCTACTTTTGTTATTAATCAATATGTTTGCTTTTTTTACTTTTCAAATTAAACTTATCACTCACTATTGCTGGCATGCAAAAATATATCCAAAACTATCTGTCGCTGATTATCGAGTGTGGCCTTGTGAATGGCTTTCACTTAACCGATATGTGGATATGCAGTGCAATCAGCAGCAGTAGCAGAGTATTGGCCAGAGTCATCCGATACTGGCAACTAACATTGTTTGCCATCCAGTCTACTTGGATGACAAAGTCACTTTTCCGTTTTCATGTGCAAAATAAACAAAATTAGAAAAACCATATTTTTTGGTGTGTATGTTCCCAGCAAAAATTGGGTGATCGTATGTGCCACTTTTAGCATTACCGGTAATGACAACTGCATACCCTCTGCATTCTAGTATTCCAATAACAATGCAACTACATACTCTCTGTATTATCTGTAACGCATGGTGTGCGCGACTATCAGTCAGAAGAACCGAAGTTCGATCCCTCCATCAGACAACTAAATAAGACTGAAATGCATAATTGATAAAGTTGAGGTTCCACTTTACTTGCCGATTTAGAAATCTATTAACATACGCTTTGAATTGTATTTAATCTTAGAATCACTTCCAATTACAGTTACTTTCTCTAATTAGAATGTTTCGAAAAAACTGCTCAATAAATTAAACCTTTATTACTATCCAGGTATTGCTATCCTTGTAATTTGTGAGGTAAACTCTTTTATTTGGCCACCTCTATAAATAAACGAAACATTTTCCCCAATAATAATACTGTGTTTTCTTTTTTGCAGGAAGACGATGACATGGAGAACGATGGCTGAAGTTTTCGAATCTTAAACTGGAAATACATCAATGCAAATTTGTATTTAAATTATTATGAACAAAACTGTGAATAAACTTTTTCAAAAAAAATATATAAAAAAATAATTGTATGTAACTAAAGAATTAGCAAATGAAATGTATGAAAGAAAAGATAAATCGTAAATAAATGTAAAAGAAAATAAAGTTGTTTGTTTGTCTTCTTTGATGTGCGCCTGAAAATAGGCTTTGATATATCATTGATTTAAAGTGGTTTTTCTATTGGCAGGGTAACACTGGCAATTACATCGGGATAGCGCCATCTATTGAATTGTATGATTCAAATGATGAAAATTTTTTTTGAATGCGAAATTTTCATATGCCCTTAAAAGCAATATTTTACGGCAAACTCTTTGAAATTAAACGGTTTCATGCGAGATATTTACTAAACAATTTTAAGCATAAAACAAACCAATTTTAAAAGCAAATTTAAACCCAAAAGCTATGTTCAATTTTATTTGAAAATATCATTGGACATACATATACCATTTAGATACATTTAGGAAATACCAAAATGTGGCGAGCAAAAACGATCTGATCGAAATTTTAATTTAAAGTTCAAAATGCATAGTTAACGTTCCGGAAATATTTATGTTGTATTTTCCTAATGCTCTTCCTTGTTTACATTGAGATGTGCCTTTTCCGTGTAATTTTTTTTCCAGAATCGCAAATAATTCAAAAGAAAAATTGTGAAATTGTCATGTATTAGGTCTATTCCAAAAACAAAAAATCACTTTAAGTTTTCAAATAGCAGACTTCGATCTGATCATGGTACGATCACTACAAGGCAGGGCAGATTGATTAAATCCAAACACTTTTCTCTCGATATTTTAATGTAAGAAAAAATTATGAAACATGAATGGAACTCCACGGATTTTTCACAATATAATTTTCCTAACATGATTGTGTTTTTCAAACTAATATGCAAAAATCCCCAAAAACTTGTAGATATGATTTTAAAGTTCAACTGAATTTGACAATTTTTTTGTATGTTATTGAAAATAACACACTGCTCTGTCCAATACCTGCAAGAATGTACTAGTTTTGGCATCATAAAGGAAAATCGGTTATTGTAGTAAAAATGTTTACATCCATAATAAAAATTTGGAAGGATTTTTATAGAAAAATACGTATTTAAGTGATTTGGTCATATCTGCCACTTAAATCGCAAGAATAAATCGTATTATTGGCTATATGACTGTGATTCTCTTTAACGACCTGTAAAAATTTCGAAATTAAAAAAATATCTGGCTTTTCAAAACATGCATATCAATAGATGGCGCTATCCCGATGTCTTTGCCAGTGCTGCCATATCTACAACAAACGTGCTATTTTTATTCATTGATATGAGCATACTTTTAGGCAGAAAGATATGCGGCGCCATGTCAGTCAAAACATTCAACTCGGATCAATCTACTTAATATTTGCAACTAAAAATCCTCTTTACTTTTATTATTTTGTGTAATTTTTCGTATTACTTACGCTTTTATTTTCTTGTATTTATTTTATTAACATTACAAAATTCGCTATATTTTAAAGATTAACATAAAAACAATATGAATACAATTTGCAATAGAAGGGACAGAGAGAGAGAGAGGGGGAATATATTGCTGATGCAGAGAATGTAATAAATTAATATTTGTTTTGTTTTAAACATTGCAATAATTATGAAACTTACAATTATGATTTGAAATGTGTACATTTCCATTTTTAATGCCTTTTTGTGGGTGTATGCTGTCTTGAAGATTGCCTTCCTAAACTATGAATATTGTAAATCTAATGGCATTTGGTGCTGATCCAAGCCATAGTCTTTGGATAATGAATGATTCTATGAAAGTGTAAGTCTAAGCGATGCATGCAGAGTAAAGTGGTTCGTTTTGATGATCTATATATGTAGGTATGTTTGTATGGCAGCTAGAATCTAAAATATCTATTCACATTTACTTATTAAAATTATCGATCTGTTGAAGCACCCAACTTCGGGTACTAGAGGGACTTAGATCAGGCGGGCACATTATCACACCGGGTCCGCGATTATTGGCCAAGGGCAATGTTTGATCTTTGATCGACATCGATCGCTTAAGGGGTGATTTTTCTAGAGGAGAGGGCGGTACATTTGCAGGCTTCGGTTTTACGGGAGGATTCTGTGTTATTCGCAGTGAAAGCGAAAGATTTTTATCAATTCTTCGATCATTGTCATCACTGTACACAGCCGAGTCTCGAAAATCGGTCTCCAAACTGGCCTCAACGCTGTCTTCGTAAGCAAAGCTTTCCTTGTTGAACCGGGACTGGGAGTTACAATCAGTAGCTGGTTTCGGTTCGCACACACTGTCATTAGACGAGGTCAGCGAGAATACGGAATCACGTTGCAAGTGTTTATTTTGATCGCATTTAATCATGGCGAACAATGTGCGGGGGTCTGCATAGTCAACATGGGCCATCCGCTCCCCAATGGTTTCGCTACCTGGCAAATGTAAAATGGAATGTCGCTCCTTTTCGAATTCGGCCGAGCCTCTGCGCTCCAGACTGCTCACAGAACGACATAGGGCGGCATTGGATGTGCTCTCTTGCACCGTCAACGTGGAGTGACTCCAAAGTCGTTTCAGAATACTTTTGGCTGTATGAGGTCGGGTCTGGTTGTAATCCGAGGTTCCGTGGAAACTGGCACTCATTTGCTGAGGTATTTCATTGAGACTACTTTCTGCCAGATTTTGAGAATCAATGCTATCCCTTTTGAGGGTTACAGTAGACGATGAGGAGGACGAAGGAGAGGTTGGTGATGTCAAGAGTGTATCCTTGGGTGGTAGGGGCGGTGGAATTTCATCGTCATCAACATGTTTTAGTACCCCGTCGGCAGTGTAGACTAATGTGACATAGTCCGATTCTGGGCGTGGTGGAGATTTTGATTTCTCGGGACTGCTGTTTTGAAGATTTGAATTGTTACCTGTGTTGTTGGTGGCGGTGTTGTTATATTGCACAGATTTCGATCTCGCCATTACAGGTGAGAATTTATATGGTACATGGACATTCCTTAGAAGTGTTTCATAGATTGGCTCTTCTAGTGCCTGCTGGTCCAATGACTTGAATTCGAGGCAATCTACTTCGGTCTCTAAAGGTGGCGGTGATCTAGAAGGAGGCCTAGGTGGGATCTCCAATGCCTCCTTATTCCATTTTACGTCGCAAACTTTCGACAGATGACCATTCTTTTCCAGCGACCGTTTCTTTTGCAACTTGGAGCAAAGTTTATCGAACTCTTTACTGTTCTTCAAAAGATCTAAGACTATTTGGGCATCCTGCTTTGCTTTGTCGGTAGGAGCCACGAGTTGTGTTTCACAGGGACTCATTTCAACAGCATTGGACGATTCTTCAGTCTTTTGTATAACATCCGGTAGTTGTTGCTGCTGTTGTTTTTGTATTCTAGAACTATCCGACTCCTTATGATCGCTATTGTTGAGTATATTTTCTGAAGATTCAGTAATCTTCAATACCGTATTGCTGGTGTCTTCAAATTCACTTAAAGCCATGTAGAACGTTGACGTCTCCTTGGCTTTGGATTTCTGTTTTCTGAGCGTGGATGACATGCGCTTCGGCAATGTTTTACAGCTAGTGACTACAGCATCGGTTGGTTTCGTGCATTTGTCCTTATTCGTATCGGGGTCAATTTTTTCTAGACTTCCCGTTTCCATGCTGATACGGGGAACAGATTTACTACGCTCTTTTAGAGGCTTTCCACCACCGAATCGGAATGATTTGCTGGCATGGCGGGCGGATTTCGCCCTAGCTTCGTTCGTTCCATTCATTTCGGCAAAGGAGCAGATGCATTTGTGATTCTTAGCACATTTCGGATTCTTACAAACGCCATCACGTAACCTCACAATATCGTCGGCTTCTGCCTCCATGGAGGCCAGCGATTTGTCGTTTATACTTTCGGCACTCTTCGAAATTGACTTTAAGAAGTTGTGGGACTCTTTGTTGGCGCTCTCATTGAAGACTTCAATGGATGAGGCATTTGTAATGGTTTTCCTCTTCACCTTCGAACGGTTGCGCATTTCGCTGCGACGAAATTGATTGCGACGTTCCAGATAGGTGGGAGTAGATGTGGAATGTAGGCCCCATTTCCAAGGACTCTTGTCGACCGAATGATCTGCAAAAGATGGGAAGGAAAGTGTCAACGAATATCGCCATAATTGAGTTGTGGTTTTAGTAAAAACTTAAACGTCTAATAAAGCCAATGTTAAAATGGAGCAAGAGATGTGCCTACAACCATGCGAATGTGCGGGTATCTGAGATGGAAAATATGGTCAAGAAGAGGCAGGGTTCTGCGACAACTTGACAATGCCAATTTACAGAATCCAGATGTTGTTCGTAATGGATTGGGGTGCGTAAGGTGCATTCGGATGTATAGCAGATTTAGACTAACAGTACTAACCCTAATTGGTGTGATGGTATTAGGATTGGTTTTTTAAATTTGCTTTTTATTTTTGACTTCACCCATTTCATCGAACTACAGATTGATTGTGTACACTTTCTATATACAAAGTTTTACATCACTAGAATTGAAAGAAAACAGTGTCAAGTTAGCCAAATAATCAAATAAATATGGGTTATTTTCCATTAGACCTCAAGATGGTGTAAATTCTACTAGCCTCCTTGTATTTTTGGAAATGGATTACAAAAAGGTTACTTATGGAAACACTGGACGTTACAACAAATATTTGATATTGTTTTGCAATCTCAAGTATAACAGTAAATAATTGTAGCTTAGGAAGACTCAAAGATAATGGACTTAGCTGTGTTCAAGATCAGCCGATGTTTGAATGGATTTGATTTAAAGACCTGCCCATCTGGTCAACCATTCGAGTAGATTTCAATACGTGATCAAAGTTCATTACTCTGTCAACTAAGTCCATTTCAATTTCAGCTTCCCTTAATAGCTACAAAATAATAAGATAACAATTTTACAAATACAATAACAATAACAACAACACAAGATGTATATGTGTCTAACGTGTAACGTAACGCAACAACAGCAACTCAAGGAGCACAGGAGTAACTCGTGACAGAGTCAAGGTGTGATGGAAATTGACGACATACATACCTTCTTCGTCGCCCAATTGGTAGACCAGTTCCTTGGCGCGTAGTGGAATGTTGTCGAACTTTTCGAGTATGACACTTTTAATGTGTTGTGTCCACAGGCGTTTCTGGTCACGATTTTTGGCTGTTAACTTGATTTGGTTGCGGGGTTCATCGTATGGTATTACATAAAAGCTTGTGGGTTCGCCGGCCAAGTGTTCGCTCAGCATGAGATTGTTTTGCTGTAGAAGAAGAGATAAGCATTAGTTTTGTGTGTGTGCGAGAGTGTGTGTTGTCTTCTGCCACTTACATGTATGTAACTTTTGAATTGCAATCGATTGTCCTCTTTGGCTTTGGCTATTATAAACATGGTGGCGAAAAGTAAAACTTTTCTTGGCTTGTTATTTTCCATAAGTACACCCTCCAGACGTAGTTCGCCCAAAACAGTAAGCTCTAGAAGATAAAATGTACATTGTCAAAAAACTAATTTTTTGGGTCTACCATTCTTCGGAATAATACCTGGTCCCATCCATCCATCTAAAATGCCAGACAGCTCCTTTACTCGGGTCTGTTGTTCCAACTTTCTCTTCACTTGGTCAATATTGCGTGCCACCTGACGCATTATTTCATAGGCCTGCATCACTTCCTTGATGTCGCAATGTTTCCTCAAATTCTGAAATAAAATCATGTAAAAACGTATTTTTCAATAGGTCTCCCTCATCGTGTCCTCATCTTCAACTTACATCCAATAGCAGGTGGTATTTGAGGATCCTTTGTACTGGCTTGAGCAAATACGATCCTAAGGGCAGTGTATGGTGCAGCATTCGTTGCGTAGATGCCAACAAGGCATTGGTATGTGTGGCCTGTAGCAGTTTGGTAAGCAGGGATATGGCTTCGGGATAGCTGGTGCTGAAATGGGGACACATAGAATATATATTTGAATCCTATGAAATCAATATTCATCCTGCTGACTTACCAATAGGTGGTGTACACATCAAAGCCATCTTTCAGATCAATAAAACACTTGGCAATTTTAACTGGATTCAGAATGGCATCCGATAGGTGTTTGAGCAAATACTGATTGAAGTGGTAGACATCTTCAATATTCGAAAATAATACCTGTAGTTCATTTGGGCGCAAGCAGGCGCGCTCCTTCCAATCCAAGAGATATCTGAAAGGGTCAAAATTGATTAAAATCGATTTCATAAAACTGGCCACTCAGCTCACTTACCCATTTATAATTTCTCCCAAATCGTTGACATAGTTTCTCTCTGAGTCGATGATTTCCATACAGGCTCTCTCGAACACCGTCATCCCGGAATGCGTTTCTGTTAATTCGTTTTCACTGTGATCGGCCAAACTCTCCACACTTGCTAGGTAGGAGGTATTGAATTTGCCATTTATGTGTTCTGCTCCCGAGCTGGAGCTAGAACTTGAAGACGTGGTGGAACATATCGATGAGGAAGAGAGTGGTCGATGTTTTAGCTTGGCTATATCGGGCAAGACGAGGCCTGATAATTTCCTTGATTCCTTGGGAGAGAACTTAGACTTGATGTCGGAGAGACGATCTAAGCTCTCGGCTGAAATTTGACTTTCGTCAGGCTCCAGATCGGGCAGAAGCATTGATCGCGAAGCCGTTTTCTTCACTTCAATATTCTTTTGGGCAAAATCGCGGGCAGCCAAACTCTTGGAACGGGCATAGGTTAGAGGGCGTGTTGTGGCGTTACGAGTTGTATATTTTGAGATCAGCGGTGTGTTAATGGCATCGACAAGTTGAATACTTTCCGGATCGGCTGGCTCGTCACTGGCATTAGTAAAATTGAGATTTGTTTGAATTTCCGCTCCAATACCTGCGCTAGTGTTTGTCTCTGTTGTGTGGTCTTCTACGCCGATGTACTCCAAAGACATGTTGGAGACTATCTCATCGAGGGTGGACTCATCGGCCAGAAACTCTTCTTCATAACGCCTTTGAGGCAAACTTAACTTACGACTGCTATGCAGTCCTTCTCCGTGCGTGGAGTCGAACACAAATGGCGAAGCGTTTGTGGGTGTCCGCTCGTCATCTACCCCGGGAATGGGATAAATAGCAGGTGTTGGTGGTTTTCTTAGGCAATTCGCATTGATTTCGGGTCTTCGAACTGCCTCAATGTCGTCGTCGTTTAAACCACTGCCGTTGTAGGTTTCGACTAAATCTGTACCGGTCTGGGTCAACTTCCCCGTGGTTTTCGACAAAGGCAGATGGGAAAATTTTAATTTGTGTGGTGTAGAGTGGGGTGTCGATGTCTTCTTATATAGACGTTGCTGAGTGTGAGTATCCAACTTGGCAGTGCTCTGCAATGCCTCAATGTCCACAGCTTCGACTGCTTCCGCATCCGAATGAGTGATGATGCGCTGAACATTTGGCGATAGCACGCGTATATTAGAGCGATGTTTACTGAGCGTGCTACTCGTCGATGCCACCGACTCTAGAGATCCCCTGACACTGCTGTTGCTACTGCCGCTATTCGAAGGCGTGCGAGAGATTTGCGAGATATTATCACAGGTGTCCACCTGACTGGCAGCCTTCAGTTCAGCCCTCTTGGCATAGCTCTGGAGTTTGCTAAGATAAGATTCCGATGCTGTCGGAAGCTGTTCTTTAATTTGCAAACTCGAATTGTTGAGATTATCACAGTCGGATTTTGAGCATTTGTTAGGTGTGGATTGTTGTTTGGCTGATGCTGCTGACGCGGTGTTGTCTAGCACCGTGGTTAGTTTATCGTAAATGCACAAAAGGGAGGGGGCCAAGTCTGTGGAACTGCCTGCAATGAATAAAATTGGGGTATTAGAATATATTGTCAGGCCGAATGTGTCAGCGAACATAGAGTTTTAACTGCATATTTTTATATAGTTCTTAGCAACTTTATTTTGTTCGTAGTTCTCATCAAAGTTTTGAAAACGAAGTTCTTAATAATGTCTACCGTATGTATGTTTGTGTGCAGAAACGACGTCACACAAATATTCAATCTACAAAAATCTTAGGCGCAAAACAAATAGAATAGCCCTACATATCTTCGCATTTCTTTCGAAAAGAAAATGTATGGCAAACCTTAGAGACAGATTAAAGAATTATTTACTCGTAAAGACGTTTCAGTTAATATGCTCTGTAAAGAAGCGAGGAGGTTCCCATAGTTAGACCCAAACAAATTAAAAATGCACTTGTATTTTTTTGAATTTCAAGTGAAATCATAGAATTAATGTGGCCCTTGTTAATATGACCACGCTTGGCGAATGCGACAAAACACATTTCCGCGCTGCTGCTGCTGCTGTTGAGGCGAACAGGCGAATGGTTTTCCCACAACAGCCAGCCAGTTACACATATATTTGTTTGTTTTCGTCGACTCAAGTATTTTGACCTCCCGCCTTCCCAAAAGTACTTTAACCCAAATTTACGCGCACACAAAATCGTAAACGTTGCCATAGCATCATGGACCGACCAACCAGCCGTCCATCTTCCATGATTGGAGATTGAGCAGAACATTTTGCTTTCATTTCGATATTAAATGTTTGGTTTCTTTTTATTCCAGAGGAGGTATGTTTGTAATGACGATTCTGCGAATACTTCAAAGATGCTCTCGTCGATGTTCGCTTCATTGCTACACACACGCACACTCACACACATACACGCACATTGGTAAGAATTCCAGAATACTTCTTTCAGACCAGATGAAAGGAAAATCTCCCACTGATACAACGGACAGGAATGCATTGGTTGCCGGGTCTGAGTGGACTAAAAATAGCTTTCCTCGGAAGATCAATGCGGTTATGGTAACGAGATGCAGGCATGACAGTTCTGGGATGAATGTGAAATTATGTCGTGGCATTGTGATCGTCGACGCTACACCATCCTCGGGCATGGTGTGGCAACTGGAAATGGGCACATGTGAGTGTGTGAGAGCCGTACATACCCAGTAAAAAATTGGATCATCCAACGATTAATCGTAGGACGCTCCTTTTCGAGCAATGGAGTACTCCTTAAATCTCCGACTCTCTTGCATTTTATACTCTTTTTTAACATTGCATGTCCTAGGAGGCGAGCACTCCTTTTGAGCTCCCATTGGATGACAGACGGAGTACTCGTTTTCATCTCGGAAAGGAGGACAAAGGGAGTAATCTTTGTTATCTCCTGAAAGAGCATAGACGGAGTACTCGTTTTCATATCGGAAAGGAGGACAAAGGGAGTAATCTTTGTTATCTCCTGAAAAAGCATATAGGGAGTACTCCTTTTGATCTCGGAAAGGAGAATCAAGGGAGTAATCTTTGTTATCTCCTGAAAGAGTAAAAGAAAGTAAAGAAGTAAAAGAAAAGAGTAAAATAAAGAATATATATTTTATCATTTATTTTTAACGAAAAAAAAACAAATAATTCATTTTTGTACTATAATTTCTTATAATTAAAAAAACATATTAAATACTTTATTTATTTAGATTTTAGGCTGTAGGTTTGCCGGTAAAATGTTGCCTTACATTTGCGAAAGGCCAACTTAAAAGATTTTTCAAATTCAGGATAAGTTTCGTAGGTGTCTCTGAGTGATTCTGCAAAAATAAAGGAAAAATAAACATCATGTACATATTATTTAAAACACGTTATAAAATCAAGCTATTACCGAAATAAAAAAAGTTAAACAACCGATATTTGTTTATGGCTGTCTTATTTTTAGCTCCATCCCAATTTACCCGAAGCAAAATATTGTCACCAATCATTGCATGTAACGCCTTTTCTATTTTGTCTTTGCCAAATTTTAGTTTCATATATGATATCTGAAAATAATTAAAGATAAATATAATTAGCTTTTAGTACCAAATTCACTTAAATTATGCATTAAAAACTCTGGCTTACCACTTCTGATTCAGGCTCGTTATTAACTAATTGTTCTGCCGAATTTAATTCCTCTAGTGAATTTATTGGAAAAATTTTGAGATCCTTGCTAGTTGGGCGTATGTGTTTAACGACCTGTTCTAACAAAATTGTCTGTTTACACATAATTTTCTTTAAAGCTTCGACTTCAGTTTGAAGGAGATCAATTTTGTTTTCCAATTTTTTATTGGTGTTTTTTGTTTCATTGTTTGTTTCTAGAAATGAACATAAAATCAAATAATTACTATGATAAAAAATATAAAAAGAGCTATGAGTTAACATTACCTGCGACATTATTCGGTGTGCTTTGTACAGTTTCATCCGTAAAAACTGATTGAGTTTGGAATATGTTCGCATTAAAATTCATGGTTCTTAAGGTAGAAAAATAGTTTGAAATATAGTTTAAATATTAGTATTTACTAAATTTGACAGTGGTGTAGAATAGGAATAAATACAAAATATTCCCCATCAGGTACGCAAAATATCTTGCAATATATGTCACGCATGTTAATTTTCTCTCGGTGGATATTTAGTGTTTTCGCCTTACAAATTCCTAAACACTTTTTAGAGTCCACTGGGTACTGAAACAAGCTTACTGCATCTGTAAATGCGTTACCGACTACGTATTCTTCGCCGCTATCTACCAAGAAACCATATACTTTAATTGGAACCATACTCATAGTGAAGCAAAAATTGTCAGGAGATTTTCCGGATAAGAAATATGTGTCGAACTTGTATCTCATAAACAAGTTGTTTCTGTGTTTTTGCCCAAGTGGTAAGAATTTAGGATCATTTGTTTTCAAAAGCAAATGCCGCTCCATGCATCGATTATTTAGCTGTTGGCTAATGTATGATGGTTTCCGACAATCTTTTTTTAAGGTTTGCAAAAAGTTCTCATATTTATATGATGAAAAATTTTCTACATTTCCAAAGTTTTCCACGCATTTCGCCAAATGTAGTAAATTGTGCACGTTATAACTGATCTTATCACTTCCATATATCAAGGCAAAATCGGCAACAAAAGCTTCCATTAGTTGTTGAACGCATTGCAAATTCTTATGACAATTTGAAGGACACGAAACCATCCGATATGCTGTATGTAATAGTAAAAAGTGTGTATATAAATCCTCATGCAATATGTTTTTAAAAATAATTATTCCCGTGTAAAGCACAACTTGCCGGAATTCCTTTGCCTTCCACCTGCATACCTCGTCAAATAGTCTACCTTTTCGAGCAAACTCCTTTGGGGTATACTTCGCAATATACAATATTTTGCGATTTAATTCATTTATTTCCGCTACATTTAACTTTGATTTTGTATGCTTGTTTTGTAAAATTAAACGCAACATCTTTTTAAACACTCCAAGGTCAATCAAATGCATAGTGTCAAGCGGAAATTGTGTGACCATCTTAATGTTGCATAATTCCAAAGGGTGAGTTTCGCTACGAAATTGCTGTATGTGATATGCTTGACTTTTTCGTGCTAGGAAAGCTTCATCAGTCCTGGCATTTCCGGGTACTATAGCATAATTTAGTCTCTTATTTTTATATGAAGCTTCTTGCTCACATTTCGAACATCCTTGCGCAGAAGTGTGTCCCACTGTACCGGTTAAAAAAGCCCTTGCAGGTGTGTCACAAACAAAAAGTCTAATTTTGGGTGTAAAGTATTTATCACCAATTTTAAAACCTTCATTTTTCAAATAGATGTATTCCTCCACAAATCTTTTTAAGAAATCCTTTACATCCGGAGGTTTTGATTTACCAATATAAGTAGCAATTAAAAATGGTTGTGAGTTTTTGAACTCTGAGAAAGAACATAAGATTGGCCATAATGACGTTGATGAGCTTTTATAAAGCGGCATTCCATCCACAAATACATCAAGAAGTAATTCGGACTTTGCATTCAACAGCAAGTATTGGCCATGCATCATCAGCGCTTTTTCTAATCCAAAATGAAAATATTCACCTGGTGGCATTTGTGATATTGACGGGCTCTCATTAGGGCAATAAGAGTTTTCTGCATATAACGCTTTCAACAATGTTTCCTTGCATAGTGCAACATTAATACCTTCACTTTTTAAAATGCTAAGAAGCGAATTACAGCATTCGTTGGAAACGCGATTATTTATTACCCACGAAGCAAGCTTCCGATCAATACAATCTTTTTTTTCACTGCTGAAACTCGTATCATTTGGATTCATTTCGTCATGAATATTAAAGTTTTCCGATTGGCTACCCTCATTTGATGACTGATTAATTTCTATAGGTGCCGAAAGTTCCTGATCAGTAAGAGTCTGCCGAGTACAATTTGAGAAATTTTCAATTTCTTTTTTTACAAGCCGTCTAAGATGACGTTTAGAAACAAAATTATCACACATTATTTTACCAATTGATTTTTTTAATTACACTTTTTTAATTTTTTTAATTACACTTTATTTACACTTACAACACGTGTTTCACTTCAGACGGACACAAGAAAACTGAGCAAATGGACGGACAACCATAAAGAAATAATCGAACATGACGAAAGCAACAGTTAAACAACAGTTACATCAAACAAAAAAAAACATGCCAAAAATGCTTTGATGCATCCCTTATTGATCCATTTGGAGCATAAGGCGAGACATCAATTTTTTTCCAACTTCGTGGAATTTTTTGGCAAAACAAAATTCATACATTGCTCGCTTATTACTCCAAATGGATGAAGAAATCATTACTCCTCTATTGCTCGGTTGAGGATTACTCCAAATATTTTTTACTGGGTAGTTCCTGTTGCATGTCGATGGGGGCACGTGTATATCGAATCGGATCGCCACTCGTTCCCTAACTTGCACTCCTTCCTAGATGCACAACAAAGAACTTTGTTTCATTATTAATTGAACAAGAGCGAATGAGTGTGCCGATC